TTTGATTATCTATCAGATCGTCTTTACTGGGCGCCGACATTTTGTTTGAAGCAAAAATGCAAGTGATTTAAGAGGTACAATCTGATTGGTCAATAGGGTGTGTGTATGTGTGTGTGTGTGTGTGGGGGGGGGGGGGGGGGGGGGGGGTAGAAGGGACATAACTCGTAATAGCTACTGGTGGCGAGATCGAGCCCAGAAATTCCAACCCAGTTCGACAGGGGTCAAAACTGGATTTTTTCAGTCAGTTAACTCACTTGCCTCGGGAAGATGCTCTGTGTGAACACTCACATTTGTGACACAGATATGATGTTATGATACTATGGACCACGTCACTAATTCCGTTATGACTGAAATCGCCTGGTTAGCAGGGTGTTCAAAGAAAAAAATAAACCGAAGTTGTCCTGATAAATATTGATTAAACTTTATATCATTTCCTATAATATTTAACTTATATGGTATCTATTTCGCCAAGCTGAATGACCTTTTTGTCAAATTCTGTATTGAAAGAAAAATGATACTTATCAAGAAAAGTATACACAATGATTCATCCACACGAAAGATTTCAGGGTTTCAAATTCCATTTAACAATGCTTTTCATCCAATCAGCACCCACTCTGTTTGTATCACAATCCACTTTTAATAACATTTATATTTAATCATTAACATTACAAATCCAACTGTCATTCCAACAATGAGACTTATTGATAGCAATAAATGTTCTTTAAATGGACGATTGTATAGATCACTGGAACCTCAACCTACCTGTGTCACTATGGTAACAGAATAAATGCAGACTGCATATTCCATTAGTGCTTTCATATTACGTCAATGTTTGTGGTGATTAGCCACGCATCCTGTGCGTGAACGTTCCTTCCTGTGACTGTGTCCGCGCTGCGTTGTGATAGCTACGATCAATAGTTAGGGTTTATATTAACATGATTGGTGTCATTTATATGGTTTGAAAATACACAAGTTGGATCACTTTATTAACCTTTTCATGGTATTATTTCATTCAAACCTATGCATGGACATAATAAGAAGAAACTTATTTATAAGTGAGTGAGTGAGTATGATATTACGCCGCTTTTAGCAATATTCCAGCAATATCACGGCGGGTGACACCAGAAATGGGCTTCACACATTGTACCCATGTCGGGAATCAAACTTTGGTCTTCGGCGTGACGAGCTAACGCGTTACCCACAAGGCTACCCCACCGCCCCTACTTCTTTATAAACACGGTTTACGAATCCCCGAAACTCCAAAAATAATCATTATGAAAAGAAAATTAAAAGCAGAGGTTTTTTATTCCGCCGATCAGAAATAAGTAAAACGTTTAAAGAAACTTATTTACTGTCGCTATCAATATAAAGAAATTATTTACACTACTATAATTAAAACCTGTTGGAAATCTTAAAAACTCCCGCCCCCACTTTATATTGTTAATTGCTCTTTTCCTATCTATTAGATCTGACGAAAATCAAAATAACATTTCTGAAATTAGACAATTTAATTTTTAATTGTTATGTTTCTCGAACTACATTGTTCGTAGCAGCAAAAATCGCATAAAAAATGCTTTGCTTTGAATCTCACAGTATGCAAATGTGTCTAATGTAGCGTAAATCCGTACTTAGTGAAACTTATTGAAGGGGACAAAGCTAGGACAACTAGACAGTTCTCGCTAAATTGATTAAAATCACTCATCCGCTTCCGCTATACCTCATAACCGTTCCATTGCTGGACTCTAGCGGTGACGTTGGTGGTTCTAGAACACTGATTTCAAAGAATAACCAATGAATGCATTCAAAGGAGAACCCTCGACAGAATGAATTGGACTGCATTCCAACTTGTTCGTATTCCTGTACAATAAACTGCAGGCATTCAGACGTCATATTTATTAATTGATCGTGTCGTTGTGGCAGATCCTCCATATGCATCGATTGAAAAATAGCGAAACGTACTTTACGACATCTTAGATGTTGGTTGAAGGCGGTGCCGTGCAGGTCAGTGGGGTTAATATACAAAATTGTACTCAATATCTCAGATAGATCGAGTATCGTGTGACGCGGGTATGTCAGTTCTCTTACTATGCCTACACTTTGAAGGGTGTTCACTGTCACAAAGGTTGATTTCAGTTATCTAACGGGGAAAGTTATTATGCAGCATCCTCTCTGTTGTCTGTGTCTACGCTCTAACTGGTGAATTGGCTCCAAGCCTACCCGTTAAGAGATGAACAGGTGGACAGTTTTCATGTAGGGGCCATGCCTACTCTCTACGGGTTGGCATTGAAATGTAGGGCCCTTTATGTTGTCTTCATGCCTACTCTCTAACGGGTTGACACTATCATGTAGGGCCCTTTATGTTGTCTTCATGCCTACTCTCTAACGGGTTCTATGCCTAATCTCTAACGGGTTGACACTATCATGGAGGGGTCTGTATGATGCTTTCATGCCTACTCTCTAACGGGTTCTATGCCTACTCTCTAACGGGTTGTCACTATCATGTAGAGGCCTTTATGTTGCTTTCATGCCTACTCTCTTACGGGTTCTATGCCTACTCACTAACGGTTTGAGACTATCATGAAGGGGCCTAATGTTGCTTTCATGCCTACTCTCTTACTGCTTCCATGCCTACTCTCTAACGGGTTGTCACTATCATGTAGAGGTCTTTATGTTGTCTTCATACCTACTCTCTAACGGGTTGACACTATCATGAAGGGGCCTTTATGTTGCTTTCATGCCTACTCTCTAACGGGTTCTATGCCTACTCTCTAACGGGTTGTCACTATCATGTAGAGGCCTTTATGTTGCTTTCATGCCAACTCTCTTACGGGTTCTATGCCTACTCTCTAACGGGTTGAAACTATCATGAAGGGGCCTTTATGTTGCTTTCATGCCTACTCTCTTACTGCTTCCATGCCTACTCTCTAACGGGTTGTCACTATCATGTAGAGGTCTTTATGTTGTCTTCATACCTACTCTCTAACGGGTTGACACTATCATGAAGGGGCCTTTATGTTGCTTTCATGCCTACTCTCTAACGGGTTCTATGCTTACTCTCTAACGGGTTGACACTATCATGTAGAGGCCTTTATGTTGTCTTCATGCCTACTCTCTTACGGGTTCTATGTCTACTCACTAACTGGTTGACACTATCATGTCGAGGCCTTTATGTTGTCTTCATGCCTACTCTCTAACGGGTTCTATGCCTAATCTCTAACGGGTTGACACTATCATGTAGAGGCCTTTATATTGTCTTCATGCCTACTCTCTAACGGGTTGACACTATCATGTAGGGGCCTTTATGTTGCTTTCATGCCTACTCTCTAACGGGCTGACACTATCATGTAGAGGCCTTTATGCTGTTTTCGTGCCTACTCTCTAACGGATTGACACTACCACGTAGGGGCCTTTATGTTGCTTTCATGCCTACTCTCTAACGGGTTGACACTATCGTGTAGGGGCCTTTATGTTGCTTTCATGCCTACTCTCTAACGGGTTGACACTATCATGTAGAGGCCTTTATGTTGTCTTCATGCCTACTCTCTAACGGGTTCTATGCCTACTCTCTAACGGGCTGACACTATCATGTAGGGGCCTTTCTGTTGTGTCCATGCCTACTCTCTAACGGGTTCTATGCCTACTCTCTAACGGGTTGTCACTATCATGTAGGGACCGTTATGTTGTTTTCATACCTACTCTCTAACAGGTTCTATGCCTACTCTCTAACGGGCTGACACTATCATGTAGGGACTGTTATGTTGTTTTCATACCTACTCTCTAACGGGTTCTATGCCTTCTCTCTAACGTGCTGGCACTATCATGTAGGGGCCTTTCTGTTGTCTCCATGCCTACTCTCTAATGGGTTCTATGTCTACTCTATAACGGGCTGACACTATCATGTAGGGGCCGTTATGTTGTCTCCATGCCTACTCTCTAACGGGTTCTATGCCTACTCTCTAACGGGCTGACACTATCATGTAGGGGCCTTTTTGTTGTCTCCATACCTACTCTCTAACGGGTTCTATGCCTACTCTCTAACGGGCTGACACTATCATGTAGGGGCCTTTATGTTGTCTCCATGCCTACTCTCTAACGGGTTCTATGCCTACTCTCTAACGGGCTGACACTATCATGTAGGGACCGTTATGTTGTTTTCATACCTACTCTCTAACGGGTTCTATGCCTACTCTCTAACGTGCTGACACTATCATGTAGGGACCGTTATGTTGTTTTCATACCTACTCTCTAACGGGTTCTATGCCTACTCTCTAACGGGCTGACACTATCATGAAGGGGCCTTTCTGTTGTCTCCATGCCTACTCTCTAATGGGTTCTATGTCTACTCTATGACGGGCTGACACTATTATGTAGGGGCCTTTCTGTTGTATCCATGCCTACTCTCTAACAGGTTATATGTCTACTCTCTAACGGGTTGACACTAACGTGTAGGGGCCTTAATGTTGCTTTCATGCCTACTCTCCAACGGGTTGACACTATCATGTAGGGTCCTTTCTGTTGTCACCATGCCTTCTCTCTAACGGGCTCCATGCCAACTCTCTAACGGGTTGACACTAACGTTTAGGGGCCTTTATGTTGCTTTCATGCCTACTCTCTATCGGATTGACACTATCATGTAGGGGCTTTTCTGTTGTCTCTCCCTGTGTTCGTTCTAACGCGTTGACATTGCCATGTAGGGACTTTTCCGTTGTCCTCATGCCTATGTTGTAAAGGGTGGATATTGCAGGGTACGTGAGTTTCATACGGTATTACTATTCAATGCGGCGTTAAACTCACACAAAAATATCTTGCCTACAATCCTCGCTGATGTGGAGATTTCACAGTTGGATTTGAGTGCCCTGATGAATACATAACCGGATTCAATAATACCCCTGAGATTGAATAGGGTGTTTTATATCCTTTATGAAAATAATCCTCCTTTTGTGATGCGTTTTCACAATAACTTGCGTTTCGCATTTAGATGATGGCCTGTACATTCAGGGACGACGTCGGCGTCGACTACGTCTTCTACTACTACCTTATAATACACATGCTGAGACGTTAATGAATCAAGATTAGCTCCAACCGTGTCCCCGGTATACACGGTCTCTAGCAATGTAATTAGTTGTATGTTTTGTGTATCATTAAGACTTGGTCGATGACCCCGCCTAGAGAGGAGGGTCCAGCGTTGGGAGGCTGATGTCACGTCCACATCTCCGACGGAGAGGTAAGAAGCGTTTGTTTCACGTGCACGGTGGGATGTGAGACTGTGGACAACGAACGTCTTGGACGACCGGTATACAAGTTGCAGGCGGCAAACTGCACGACTTCGGCGACTTTTAAAGGTGAGACAAACAGGTAAATTGTTGGCGTTTTAATGTTCACCAAAGTCTCAGAGATTGTTGAGCTGTGGCTCACGTGTCAGCGTGATAATATAAATTTTAATTTTATAGATCCTGCAAGTTTATTTCACATGTCTCCGAACTAGTACTGTATTGTTTCATGTGTCAACTTTCTTGTGTTTAGTTCATTCTCCGAAATAGTACACTTCTGTTTCATGTGCCAACTTTCTTATGTTTAGAAAAGTCTCCGAACTAGTACACTTCTCTTTTATGTGCCAACTTTCTTATGTTTAGTAAAGTCTCCGAACTAGTACACTTGTGTTTCAAGTGTCACCTTTTTCATGTTAAGTAAAATCTCCGAACTAGTACTGTGGTATTTCATGTGTCAACTTTCTTATCTTCAGTAAAGTCATCGACCTATTACACTTGTGTTTCATGTGTCAACTATCTCAGGTTTAGTAAAGTCTTCAAACTAGTTCACCTCTCTTTCATATGACAACTTTCTACTGTTTAGTAAAGTCTCAGAGATTGTGCAGTTATATCTCATGTGTCAACTTTCTAATGTTTAGTAAAGTCTCCGAACTAGTACTGTGGTATCTCATGTGTCAACTATCTCATGTTTAGTAAAGTCTTCGAACTAGTTCACTTCTCTTTCATATGACAACTTTCTACTGTTTAGTAAAATCTCAGAGATTGTGCAGTTATATTTCATGTGTCAACTTTCTAATGTTTAGTAAAGTCTCCGAACTAGTACTGTGGTATCTCATGTGTCAACTTTCTTATGTTTCGTACAGTCTCCGAACTAGTACACTTCTGTTTCATGTGTCAACTTTCTCATGTTTCGTACTGTCTCCGAACTAGTACACTTCTGTTTCATGTGTCAACTTTCTTATGTTTAGTAAAGTCTCCGAACTAGTACACTTCTGTTCCATATGTCAACTTTCTTATGTTTAGTAAAGTCTCCGAACTAGTACAGTTCTGTTTCATGTGTCAACTTTCTTATGTTTAGTAAAGTCTCCGAACTAGTACAGTTCTGTTTCATGTGCCAACTTTCTTATGTTTCGTACAGTCTCCGAACTAGTACACTTCTGTTCCATGTGCCAACTTTCTTATGTTTAGTAAAGTCTCCGAACTAGTACAGTTCTGTTTCATGTGTCAACTTTCTTATGTTTAGTAAAGTCTCCGAGCTAGTACACTTCTGCTTCATGTGCCAACTTTCTTATGTTTAGTAAAGTCTACGAACCAGTACTCTAGTGTTTCATGTGTCAACTTTCTTACGTTTAGTAAAGTCTCCGAACTAGTACACTTCTGTTTCATGTGTCAACTTTCTTATGTTTAGTAAAGTCTCCGAACTAGTACACTTCTGTTCCATGTGCCAACTTTCTTATGTTTAGTAAAGTCTCCGAACTAGTACACTTCTGTTTCATGTGTCAACTTTCTTATGTTTAGTACAGTCTCCGAGCTAGTACACTCCTGCTTCATGTGCCAACTTTCTTATGTTTAGTAAAGTCTACGAACCAGTACTCTAGTGTTTCATGTGTCAACTTTCTTACGTTTAGTAAAGTCTCCGAACTAGTACACTTCTGTTCCATGTGCCAATTTTCTTATGTTTAGTAAAGTCTCCGAACTGTACTCTAGTGTTTAATGTGTCAACTTTCTCATGTTTCGTACAGTCTCCGAACCAGTACTGTAGTGTTCCATGTGTCAACTTTCTCATGTTTCGTACAGTCTACGAACCAGTAGTGTAGTGTTTCATGTGCCAACTTTCTCATGTTTCGTACAGTCTACGAACCAGTACTGTAGTGTTTCATGTGCCAACTTTTTCATGTTTCGTACAGTCTCCGAACCAGTACTGTAGTGTTCCATGTGTCAACTTTCTCATGTTTTGTACAGTCTCCGAACCAGTACTGTAGTGTTCCATGTGTCAACTTTCTCATGTTTCGTACAGTCTCCGAACCAGTACTGTAGTGTTTCATGTGTCAACTTTCTCATGTTTCGTACATTCTACGAACCAGTACTGTAGTGTTTCATGTGCCAACTTTCTCATGTTTCGTACAGTCCCCTAACAAGTACTGTAGTGTTTCATGTGCCAACTTTCTCATGTTTCGCACAGTCTCCTAAAAAGTACTGTAGTGTTTCATGTGTCAATGTCCCAGCGGCCTGTAGATAACCGAGTACGTAACAGGCAAACTAATGCGTGAGAGCATGAGCAGCGATCTACGTCTGACTGGAATGTCGTTCATGCTGATCCAGGTCACTCATTGTTACCACATGATAATCATTTATTGTCCCACATCAGATAAACATCGAGTAATTTGCCAAGCGCTTCAACAGGGCTCAAGTGGACAGAATGAATCAACATGGAGCGAAACTAGACATTTACACACACGCGCGCGCGATTAGTAGTAGTAGTAGTAGTGGTAGTAGTAGTAGTAGTAGTAGTAGTAGTAGTAGTAGTAGTAGTAGTAGTAGTGGTAGTAGTAGTAGTAGTAGTAGTAGTAGTAGTGGTAGTAGTAGTTGTAGTAGTAGTAGTAGTAGTAGTGAATATCGAGAACATCTCTTGAAAAAATATATATTTGAAAGCAACTTTGACACCTATTCAAGTGAACCCATACGTTTGGACAAAACGTGAATAGGTAAATACACGTAAGATGATTAGCTTGGCCATGGCGTACGTGTTCCGATACGGAAGGTCGATCTTGCCTACGTTGACTTTGCCTTCGCCGACCTTGATACATGTACATTGATATTGTTATACCTTATACTGTTAACATGGACTTGCAGGCCGTATTGATGTGATGCCGTGTTTGCAGTAACATATTGCAAATAGTTGATTTAGAAAATATCTCAAAGATGTTGGCGTTACTCAAATGAACAGACTGAAACATAGCTTAATGTGAATTCAACAATGATGACATCGTCCATTTGAATACCTTTATTGACCGAGGTTTTGATTGGTATTTTTGGATAGTCTGACCCTTGAGGTTTCTGACACCTGCCTCCTTTTCAAAGAAACTCAGTAAAGATTAAGAAAACCTTTAAACATTTCCGCTGTGCTAAAAGTGAAATATGTTCCACTTTAAAGTTGCATAAATATATCCTGTTAATAAATTCTAAATATTTGATTTCTGGTAAATACTTCAAAATGTGTGGTTTCTGTATGATTTGATGTTTAAAAGTGCAGAACAAACCTATCCTGTAAATTCCTCAAAATATGTGTTTTCTGGTCCGTTCCATTTTCCATGAAAGGTAAACAGGTAACTATTGCTTGACTAACCAACCTTGACTAATCCTGGTATGTGAGGTGCGTGAAATATAAGTAAGTTAAAGGGTGCTTTGAAATTGTTTTTTAATTAATTACCCAAATATGTCATCAGTGCGAGTAACAAGGTAATTTCCAGGTAATTGGATTATTCTATCAAATGGTCGTTCCTTATATTACAAAACGTATTTGTGGCAAGGGTAATCCAGGAAACAACATACAATGATTCATGCATCCTGCTGGGTTTTTTCTAATACATACCATGGTGAATCGTATTTCGGTATTAGTGGAGACGAAGAAACACAAGATTATATTCCAAAAGGCCCCCATGTTGATAAGGTTGAAACAAATTAGGACATCAGATGGGATTAGCCCGAGCGTTCGTTTAGTGAAGGTTTTTAAACGGTTTACTATAATATAGACTTCAGTGGTTAACACGCTTTATATATATAATATGAGGCCTTTAGTCCTTTAACTAACATAAGGGTGGAGGGGGTGGGTGGGGTCACGGGTGGTCCAGTCGACTTAGACGCCATTCGCTGTAAAGAGTTACATCACTTAGGCACGCACCAAATCTATGATAGTGGGTTCGAATCCCGGTTCGCCACGATGATGTTTCTTGTTTTGTTAGCACCATCCCCGTGCCCGTGAGTTTCACCAAAGTGGTAAACGTTGGGCTTTCCTCTCAGACAGTGATGGAACTGGTATACAGTTCAAATCGGCGTAAAACCCATCTTACTTAGTCACTTAAGACGTAATGTGTGTAAACATCACACTCGTTTGGTTTCACCAAAGTGGTACCAATCCAAGAACATCACTTCAGGCTTTCTCCCACATGAGGATGCCATGCCCTGCTATACCTGAAATACTTTTCAAAGCGGCGTTAAACCCAACTCACTCACTCACTCACTATGAACTTCACTTCAGGCTTTCTCCCACATGAGGATGCCATGCCCTGCTATACCTGAAATACTTTTCAAAGCGGCGTTAAACCCAACTCACTCACTCACTCACTATGAACTTCACTTCAGGCTTTCTCCCACATGAGGATGCCATGCCCTGCTATACCTGAAATACTTTTCAAAGCGGCGTTAAACCCAACTCACTCACTCACTCACTATGAACTTCACTTCAGGCTTTCTCCCACATGAGGATGCCATGCCCTGCTATACCTGAAATACTTTTCAAAGCGGCGTTAAACCCAACTCACTCACTCACTCACTATGAACTTCACTTCAGGCTTTCTCCCACATGAGGATGCCATGCCCTGCTATACCTGAAATACTTTTCAAAGCGGCGTTAAACCCAACTCACTCACTCACTATGAACTTCACTTCAGGCTTTCTCCCACATGAGGATGCCATGCCCTGCTATACCTGAAATACTTTTCAAAGCGGCGTTAAACCCAACTCACTCACTCACTCACTATGAACTTCACTTCAGGCTTTCCCCCACATGAAGATGACATGCCCTGCTATACCTGAAATACTTTTCAAAGTGGCGTTAAAACAAACTCACTCACTCACACAAGGTGACTGTATAAGATTGAGGCTAGTTTCCTCAGTCCGAATAGGTACCCAGGACGTCATACCCGTCAAGTACAATGGGTGAGTGAATATGGTTTTACGCCGCTTTTAGCAATATTCCAGCAATATCACGGCGGGGGACACCAGAAATGGGCTTCACACAAAGCATATTAAGACACACAGTCACGGTTATCCACCGATAAAAGGTAATAGTTGTGGAAATTATATGAATGGATCACTAAACAAATATAATAGGTTATTCGCTAAGACACGTCTTCAACGATGTTTGCTGCAAAGTGTGTGATGCACTTATTTCAATAGCAACTTCTTTTGTTCTTTATCACGACGTTTCAGAGCTACTTCTTGACGCATTCACCCGAGAGAGGAGCCAGAAGTAGCTCTGAAACGTCGTGACAAAGAACAAAAGAAGTTGCTATCCATACAAGTGTCATGTATTCAAGTTCTAAATCAAAGCCTTGATGCATTTATTTGTTTTCGCATGGGACAACACCAGCAGAGATAGGCGTTCTCTAAACGTGATAGTAATTGGCGACAGCTTACAGGAGATATTTAGGGAATAAATAAAAAATGATTGAAAACAACAAGACATGCGAACATGGTAGGTGAAGATTGATTGAGAAGTTCTGAGACTCACATGCTTAGGAATTGCGTAATAACGAAATCATTTGCGTAGACATTACATGATGTCGAAGAGGTATACCCACAAAACGCTTCAGTCAGTTGGCTCCTAATTGTTTCGCTGTGGCAGTATAATAAGACGCTATGGAAAATGGATAAACTTGAGGGACATGCAGTGGTAAAGTACTTGCAGAAAAAGGGCTTAACACCAAAAGCCATCCATGAAGCTAAGAGTATAACACTAGGGCAGGATGCCCCTTCCTATGCCACTGGTCGGCCGGGTAGCCTAGTGGTTAAAGCGTTCGCTCGTCACGCCGAAGACCCGGGCTCGATTCCCGACATGGGTAAAATGTGTGAGGCCCATTTCTGGTGTCCCCCGCCCCGATTATGTTTTTAGGTTTGTCAGCACCTACCCGTGCTCGTGGGTTTCACCGAAGTGGTAAACGTCTTAGGCCTGCATCACTTCGGGCTTTCCTCCCACATTAAGCTGACACGCCGTGATATAACTGGAATACTGTTAAAAGCGGCGTAAAACCACACTCACTCACTCCTATGCCACTATAAAGAAATGAGCAGCAGCGTTTAGTGAGTGAGTGAGTTGGGTTTAACGCCGCTTTTAACATTATTCCAGTTATATCACGGCGTGTCAGCTTAATGTGGGAGGAAAGCCCGAAGTGATGCAGGTCTCAGACGTGAAACCCACGAGCACAGGTACGGTGCTGACAAACCTAAAAACATAATCGGGGCGAACCGGGATTCGAACCCACAATCATAGGTTTCTGGCGTGCCCAAGGGACGCAACTGTGCACTGCGAATCGCGGCGCCTTAGACGACTGGGCCACCCGTGCCTCCTGCAGCAGCGTTTAAGCATGGTAGGTAGAGTCTTGAAGACGACCCCTGTCCTGGAAGGCCTGTGACGTCAGCAACACCAGGAATGATCCAGGAATGATCCACAGAATCCTGATATGGTGATGACCGGCCAGCGATTGAATGAGCGTTATACTGTTCAGTAGGCATTTCCCTGGAGAGAGCACATTCCATTATCACAGAAACGTGATGAAAGTATCAGCTCGCTGGGTTCCAAAACTTCTGACATCTGATCAAATACTCACCAGGCCCAACATGTCACTGGTTATTTTTAGCTCAGTTAGAAGCTGATCCAGGAATATTTTTGCAACGATTTCTGATTGTCGATGAACCTGGATTCACAACTTCCAGCTTGAGTCCAAACAACAATCAAAATAGTGGAAACATTTGACCTCATCGACACCTTAAAGGGCAAAGACATTTCCGGAAAGGTTGTGGCCTCCGTGTTCTGGGATGTTAAGGGATCATTATGGGGAACTATCTTCCAGTGTTAAGACGGAGCATATTATGCTGCACTTTTGAGCCTATCATGAGATGAAATTGAGACTAAGGGACGTGGAAAGCTGAGAAAAGATGTGCTCTTCCATCAGGACAATGTGCGAGTACAAAATCAGTCATTGCCATGGCTACGGTCCACTCTTTAAATGTCTTTGGCACCAACCTAATTCTCCTGATATGGTTCTGTCAGACACCGTTCCCAGACATGAGTGAGTGAATATGGTTTTACGCCGCTTTTAGCAATATTCCAGCAATATCACTGCGGGGGACACCAGAAATGGGCTTCACACATTGTACCCATGTCGGGAATCGAACCCGGGTCTTCGGCGTGACGAGCGAACGCTTTAACCACTAGGCCACCCGACCGCCCCTCCCAGACATGAAGAACGCTCTCGCCGGAACCCATTTTAAATCGAACGATAACGTCATGGCAGCTTTGGAGAAATCTTGGACAGCCAAGAGGAGGACTTTTTGAAACAGCGTTGGCAAAAGTGTATCAATATGGAAGGGGATTATGTTGAAATGTGAATCCTTTTAAAGGGGAAGTGTACACGCAAAAATCACTTTCTTTCTTTTTCTAAACAAAACGCAATTTTAGAATTAATTAGTTTCTGTGTTTGAAAATATACACTCATTTTTTTCACAGTGAACGTAGGAAGCTCACAATAGTGTGAAAATGATATGCCGTTATGAGGCCTTCGTTTTTCGAGCTAAACAGGCCTGAGTTATCCCCCTTAGATTATGACGTAATTGGTGCCAATTCAACTGGGTCCCTGTCTATTCTTAACGCAAAAGATATCAAGTACCAGTTTGCGGTAAAACAACATGGCCTACGACACACTCCGGCGCAGGGGTGACTCAGCATAACACTATGCTGGCTGGCATCTGAGACGCTAGAATCACACACCTGGACCTACACCACGTGAGGCGGCTCTAACAAAGCATGATGACGTCATAATGTTTATCAATTGGCACCAATGACGTCATATTGCAAGGGGCATAAGCCATGGTGTTTTTGTTGTGGAAATAGAACACTTGGTAAATGTGAAAAATATAAATCGTTTTAATGCGAAAAATATGTTAATTAATTGAGATATTTTTATATTTTTGTCTATGACACTTCTATGTTAACACTTTTAATGTTGAAAAAGTACAAGAAAAATAGGTTCATTTCCGTGTGAACTTGCCCTTTAATGTCTTTCAATCCTTTCGACGTGAGACTCAGAACATACCAATGACCCCTCGTACTCACACATATCGACAGAACACTTTCGAAATGGAGGTTAGTGGCTCAGCATCCTCATCCTCGAGTAACCAGGGTGCCTTATACCTTGGACCCGTTCGCCATCATTGCTTCATTTCGAAACTAAGGTCAGGATCTCTATCTAGCCTATCAGCACAGATTTTCTCTCGCTCATGGACGTTACTTGATTGGACGGAGGTTTTAGCCTTGCATCATTCAAAAGACTTTGGTAGCGAATCGGTCCCGATTATTTATCAGAATAGCCCGGCAACCCACGTCTGTTCAGGAACTGATGCCCAAATGATATGTCAAGAAATATTTCATGCGATCGAAACGTTAAAGGATAGCAATTATTGGCAGAAAATCGGATAATTTTCAATTTCCATATGTTCCAATATCACAAAAGGAAGATAGTTCTAATCAGCAGTTGCCTATTATGGTTGGGGGCTTAAACAAGTTTTATGTCAAATCATATTTAAAGAATATATCCACTCAGAAATATTTTTTGAGTGGTGACTAAGTGCCAGTACAGTTCAGATTTTAGAAATGATACCGTTAATGATTCTCCCAAATTATGTTTCTAGGTTTGTCAGCACCCTACCCATGATTGTGGGTTTCACCAAAGTGGTAAATATCCAAGACCTGCATCACTTTCCTCTTACATCAATCTGAAACGATGTGATAACTTAAATAATGTTCAAAGCGGCGTTATTTTAAACTCACTATTGACAGAGACATCATTTATGCATTGATTTGACAAATGCCATTTATGAGAAAAAAGTAGGTTTTGGAGAAGATGTGGATGAGTAATGGCAAAATATGATTGTCTATAAGGGACCAATCTTATTTTAAATCGGTGCCTCAAGACATAGTTATTTATTACTCTCGCGTGATTCTTATTCGTAAATATCCTATTTTTTGGAATAAAAATTGTTATTGCTAATTTACGATATTTACCATACAGAAGCACACGAGGGTGATAATAACTTTATAATTTAATGTCTTTTTCAGAATAATTGATGTTTACGACGTTATTTCACTCACAGAAGTAGAAATAGAAGCCGCGCATGAATACCATTTTGGAGTGAACCGCGCTATTTATCACATAATGTCAAATGTCTTTCAGCCATGTTTCTCTCTATGTTTGGGCGAGGCATTGTGAAACCCCTACCTCACCAAATTGCATTCTTATTAAAATCAGATTTAAGTTCTTGCTACCGGGAGCAAAAGTTCTGACGAAATCGGCGGGTTAGGAAATGGCGTTCTGGTGTGACCCTCAATAGGATGTCCTCAGATCTTTGTTTCAGTAGTCATAGACGAAACACGCATACTTTGTTATAATATCGAACTATGGATCAAAGGCCTCTCAGTTTGCCATGAACAAACAATTTGAACAATGTAGCAACATTATATCTTTTTGTTTCACGTTTCAGATACCACGATGTCTAACATCACCGACTCGACGGGTCCCTTCCTGTTGGGAACTCCCGCTGCCATCACCATAGCAACGTTCACGAGCATCATGGGTGTCCTGACGACGGCAGAGAACCTGATGGTGTTCCTGGCATTTGCCACTAACAGTTCCTTGAGGAAGTTCTCCGACTACTTCATCCTGAACCTGGCCGTGGCAGACTTTCTGATTGGTTGTGTCTGCATCCCTCCCTATATTCCCTACCTGCTGACAGGAGTATGGGAGCCCGGCAGGGCCTTCTGCAAGATATGGCTTCTATTTGACTATATATGCCCTGCTGCATCCACCATCAACATCTGCATTATCAGCATTGACCGCTACTTGCAGGTAGCTTTCCCTTTCAAGTACAGAGCCAGACAAACCACGACGATGCGGATGGTGATGATGTTGATCCCGTGGATCATCGCAGGGCTGACGTACCTGCCTTCCATCCTGTTCTGGGAGCTGTGGACTGGGCTCGATACCATTCCCCACAAAGTGTGTTTCGTGCCATACTACTACACCTTTGAGTACGCCATATTTGCGTCCATGGTCGAGTTCGTCATGCCATTCACTGTTGTGGGGGCCTTCAACATCCTGATCTTCATCCTCATCCGTAAACGCTCCAGGGGGATATTAGGACAGAGCAAAGTCGAGCCCATGAAGCAGGTTCAGGGAGAAGCGACAAAGAATACACAGACGTCAGGGCCAGCGAAACCGTCCCTAGCGAAGGACAAGAAAGCAGCACGTTCCTTATTTATCCTTGTGTTGGTCTTTGGCATCTGCTGGATGCCCTACGAGGTGTGTGCGCTCATCTCCAGCGTCTGTGCCGACTGCATCAACCCCGTCTTCTTCGAGTTCACTTTCTGGATGCTGTGGGTAAACTCCACCATCAATCCCATCCTCTACCCACTGCTGCACAAGCGCTTCAGGGATGCGTTCTTTAAGCTAATTGGGCTCCAAGCCAGAAATTCAGCCAGGGTCGCAACAGTGGCCACAGTGCAGTAAGTGAACGACATCGTCGACGGTGGCCCAGGACATACCACCTCATGATATTATATAACTATGGTTGTGTTCATCAACAGTGGCCACAGTGCAGGTGTGAACGACAGCGTCGACGGTGGCCCAGGACATACCACAGCATGATATCATATAACTATGATTGTGTTCATCAGCAGTGGCCACAGTGCAGGTGGTGGACGACGGCGTCGACGGTGGCCCAGGACATACCACAGCATGATATTATATAACTATGATTGTGTTCATCAACAGTGGCCACAGTGCAGGTGTGAACGACAGCGTCGACGGTAGCCCAGGACATACTACCATGATATTACTTCGTGCTCAGCAGAAAACCTCTGAAATGTTCGGCCATACTTGACTCACAATCTGTACTTGCTGTTATATATTCGTTCAATTTCACATTCAGTGAGACCAGTGCTTGAAGCTGTGACTCCTTACGCACAGCACCCGGGTTCGATTCCCCGCAGGGGTACAATGTGTGAAGCCCATTCCTTGCATCCACCCGCCATGATACGGCGTTCAGAGCGAGGCAACTTCTTCACATATCGGGGCGGCGGGGTGGCCTTGTGGTTAAAGCGTTCGCGCGTCACGCCGAACTCCCGGGTTCGATTCCCCTCATGGTACAATGTGTGAAGCTCATTTCTGGTGTCCCTCCGCCGTACTATTGCTGGAATGTTGCTAAAAGCGGCGCAAAAATACAACTCACTTTCACATATCAAACTGTGTCTGTGTACATGTGTGCCTGTATTTGCATCTGTTATTAAACCAGTGTCGTCGTACATAAAATAATGGTCATTGATTGGATGGTTGTGGGTTCTTCACTTTATTCAGTACTTCCAGGCCACGGGCCTTTTTGTACAAACGAAATACAATTTAGGTGCAAACAGTATAAAAATACAACACATGTCTTTGCTTTTTTTTAACAAAAGCAGTTTTAACATAAATCCATATTATCAAAGAGTATTTGTGTTTTTACAGCTTTGGCATAAAACAAGTACTTTGCTGTATTCATATTGATAATAGGGTCTTGCGATGACAGTAGTGTATTAAACTTCAGAATTTTTTAAAGATATAAAATTAAGAGTTTATGTAACTTTGCCTCAGATGGCTATAAGTTGGATAAATTAACAAAAAGTGATATTCATTTTCGATATGGTTTAAGTTTGAAACGTGTTTTCTCACACATTACAAGGGGGCGGTCGGGTAGCCTAGTGGTTAAAGCGTTCGCTCGTCAGGCCGAAGATCCGGGTTCGTTTCCCGACATGGGTACAATGTGTGAAGCCCATTTCTGGTGTCCCCCGCCGTGATGTTGCTGGAATATTGCTAAAAGCGGCGTAAAACCATACTCACTCACACATTTCAAGACTTACAAGTAAGTTGATGATCATAGACAGTATACGGATTATTATTTATTTTTAAATGAAAACAAAAACACAAACCACATGTCGATGCAATGTAAGAAGAAAGTATGATCATTTGGTGAGATATAAACTCTGATAAACAACTATTGATCAATATCACAGATCGCACACAGCACTGGGGCTAAACTAGGCGATTTCAAAGATTACACTGAGGACATGCGAGTAAAGATGATCATTACTGTCACTAAATGAATGTCAATTCATACGGTCATGGGTTGTGTTGCACCCCGGGTATATGCACGGGACACCCGGGGTACGTTCATGGGTTGTGTCACACCTCGGGTATATGCACGTGACACCAAGGATAAGTTCACAGGCTGTTGTCGCAACCCGGGTATATGCACGAGACACCAAGGATAAGTTCACAGGCTGTTGTCGCAAGCCGAGTATATGCACGAGACACCAAGGATAAGTTCACAGGCTGTTGTCGCAACCCGGGTATATGCACGTGACACCCAGGATAAGTTCACAGGCTGTTGTCGCAACCCGGGTATATGCACGAGACACCCAGGATAGGTACATGGGTTGTTGTCGCAACCCGGGTATATGCACGTGACACCCAGGATAAGCTCACAGGCTGTTGTCGCACCCCGGGTATATGCACGAGACACCCAGGATAGGTGCATGGGTTGTGTCGCACCCCGGGCATATGCACGTGACACGAGACACCCAGGACATATATGAACCAGATCCGATACCGCATCCAACCGTCACAACTTGACGATGAGTGAAGTATGGAATCCTAGTGGGGGCATTGTCGCGTTGTCGCTTTGCCGCCCTTAAAAAGCAAAATGTGTCAACATTAACCAAAGCGCGACAATGTTACAATGCAACAACGCGACATTTTGCCATTTGTCGCATTGTCGCGCTTTGGTTATGTCCCTTCTATGATACCATAGGGAAGAGAATGAAGCGGTCATAAAATATAGAGGTATCGCAGGAAATAAGCACTTTCACTTGATGTATCCAAACATTTCCCTTTTTGTATATTGTATGGGTATATTTTATTTTCATAAAACCAATGTAAAGTATGCTATGATGTGGTTCATATTTTTTTGTATCTCATATTGCCATCAGTCTTCACATCGGATTTGAATATGATGCAAAACGCTTTAATTTGTTTGTTTTTTGTTTTACACCGATATCAACAAAGTTTCCACATGATGGCGGCCTGTAAATAACCATGGAACGGAATCAAATCGTACAGTGTACGCAGGGCAGGATCCGGGAATTTCAAAAGTCTTAAAATGTACCATGGTTGGTTTGTTTGTTGTTTTACGCCGCACTCAGCAATATTCCAGCTATATGACGGCGGTCTGTAAATAATCGAGTCTGGACCAGACAACCCAGTGATTGATATCATGAGCATCGATCCACGCAATTGTGATCGATGATATGCTTCAACCAAGTCAGTGAGCCTGACCACCCCATCCCGTTAGTCGCCTCTTACGACAAGCATAGTCTCCTTTTACGGCAAGCATGGGTTGCCAAAGAACTATTCTCTGCATCAACCAAAGAACGCCTTTCTTGAACACCACGGCAGCAGGAACACATTGTTTTAGGTTAGACCACAATGAAATTATCTGAATTTCATTAATTTTATTTATAATACGGTTGGCTCAAGGTCATTAATTATATATTTTTTTAAACAAACTTCAAGACATATGTTTAAGAAAACAGTCGATGGGTGCGATTCATATGAAGCTTGAATTTTGGGCAGGACGACGCATTTTGTGTTTGTTTATCAGTGAGTTAGTGAGCTTTAACGCCGCTTTTAACAGTATTCCAGTTATATCACGGCATATCAGCTTAATGTGGGAGGAAAGACCGAAGTGTTGTAGGTCTCAGACGTTTACCACCTCCGTGAAACCCACGAGCACGGGTATGGTGTTGACAAACCTAGAAACATAATCGGGGCGAACCGGGATTTGGACCCACAATCATAGGTTTCGGGCGTGCCCAAGGGACGTAACTCTGCACAGCGAATCGCGGCGCCTTAGACTACTGGGCCACCCGTGCCTGTTTCAATCCTTAGAATACTGTAAACTATGTTTATAACTAACTGATGGGGACGAACTGGGTTTTTTTGTCCCGGCTATTTCCTGACTGTGCTGTGTATGTGCTTATAACGAATTCTGATCATAACGAACTAAAATTAGCAGTCCCTTTGAGTTCGTTATAACCATAGTGTACTGTATTCCAATACAAATCAGTCACACAGGAATTATTGTACGCGAATATGATAATGCATTATGACAAAAACAACACAAATACTGCAAATAGTAAAATCATTTTATTCATCAATAAGCAAATATATAATGTTTTGCCTGCTTAACATATAATCTCATATAAATTAAAGATACATATTTTGTTGGTTTAAATAGCATGACAGAGCTCTGGTAAACGATAAGAAAAAAAGCACATGAGACAGGCATTACAGAGGAGGGAATAGTGACGCAGCACTCCATCAGTGAGACAAGAGACGTCAGTACTTCACTGCTGTGTTCCTCGTCACCGTGAATACAAACAGATGCTCAGAAATGTATTTGACATTTTCAACAAAAAATAAAGACATGGCCTGATTCCAGCAAGAGGGAAACAACTGACTACGCAGACCGATGGACAGCCATACATCTCACAAACAGCAGTATTTCTCCTGCATCTGCCATTGTCTGCATCTATGCTACTCAAGAGAGTGAATAGGTTGGGTTTACACCCCTTTGAACAGTGTCAGCTTGAAGTGGGAGGAAAGCCCAAAGTGGTGCAGGTCAAAGACATGGACCTGTTCCGTGAAACCCACAAGTATGGTGCTGACAAACCTAGAAATATAATCGTGCGACTAAGGATTCGAACCCCATTCACAGGTTTCTGGCATGCCCAAGGGACGCAACTCTGCAAATCGAATTGCGGGACTTCAGACGAGGTGAATTTCATAAACAGCCTTACTTAATTAGTTGCCTAAAAATATACATCACAACTTCTTCTACACCATAAGGCAGCCATATATAGTCATATGTATCCACTGTGATGAGGAACATGGTCATACAAACCTCTGAAATATTGACAAGGGACTCACAACCAGACATGCTCCTTGTTAAAATAACTCACACTACAGCAATAAGTCAACACAAAATAGCAGACCTGATACATATCACCACAAAGCAGGAACAATTGGACTAAATCTAATGATGAACAGACTACACAGGAGATCAAGTGATGAGGACCACCATGACAAACATCCAACAAGACTCCATTCCACAAATGATCTTAGAGCTAGGACTGTTGTCAATGTTGTAGTAAGGAGTCATTAGGCTGGGACGGGTAACTCTGATACTCAGGTCGAGTGGGTAGAGGGTCCTGATGGGTTTTAATGCTTAACGTAAAACACCTTTCAAACAATATCGTAAACGTTAAATTCATCCTTTTTTTTTATCGTAAATGCTTATCGTAAAATACCAAAACATAACTGCTTTACTTAAATAAATAATTTACTGCTTATCGTAAAATGATTAAAATGATCAAAAACAGTCTGTCTTCAAGACCCAAATGCTTCGCCACAAAAAGCAGGCTGCGCAACTGACGCAGGGGACCAGTCTAGAATGTTGAGCGATTTGAGATTTTACCAGGTTTTAAAAATATGAATTGTCAGGATGAAACGAAAGCAGAATTAAAAGTCCCATGTCCCTCCATGGCCGATTTAGGAATTTTTCGCGACGATTTTATTGAAAAAGAAGAAAAATTACAGCTTAATGAAAAAGTACCCTAAATTTTACTGCTTACTGCTTATGGGACCCACCCATCAGGACCCTCTACTAAGAATGACCCAAGTACCCACAGAACTACCTGGACCCGTGGTTGGTCATGTGATATATTGTTTAATGACAAATGATCTAGAACTATATGGTTACACTACAAGTCACTAATGTTCGCATTTCTTTCTGACTATGCATCCATACTTTTATATGTGTGAATAAAGATATAACTTCAGTCAACTTCAGTGTATGCATGACCAGATCGATTTGTACTTGTATCAAAATACATTTTGTCCAGGGCTTGTCGAACTATTCCCAATCTGACATTTTGTACCTATCTCTTGGGACCTACAGTGGGTACCCGGGCAGGGGCAGGTAATAGGTGGGTGGGTACCCGGGTAGTAAATTTGGACTCGTCCCAGCC